CGATATAATATGTATACAAATAAATACCAATTATTTTTTCAATTAGTAGAAACACACAAAAAGAGAAATTCAGGGTTTTAAGCAGAGCAGGACAATTGATTGAAAATAGTACCAAGAAAAAGAATAGTTCATCCAATCCAATGATTCATTGAATTGGGAAGGAAGGAAAGGGACAGAATGATAGAGAAGAAGAAGAAGAAGCCAACCTGGACCAATTCTCATCCATCATTATTATTTATTATTATACATTACTGTTACTTACAAATAAGTCCACGGTCAACAGAGACAACAAAACGCATCCAACACACTTGAGCTCATACACGCACTCTCTCCCTCTCTCTCTCTTCTCATCCAATTTCCCAGCACCATCCCTCCCTCCTCTCACTCCTCTGTCTCTCCATGTATATATAAACCCCAAAAAACACACAAATACTCACAACTTCTCTTCAGCTCAGAAGCAAAAACATAAATAATAAATAATAATAAAATATTTCTATTCAATTATTTTCTTCCGGGATCCAGACATGTACGGCGGCGGCGAAGATCCGAATCCGAAACAAAAACCCATCGTGATCCGGGAAGTGTGGGCCCACAATCTCGAATCCGAATTCGAGCTGATCCAGAGCGTCATCGACGCCTACCCTTTCATCTCCATGGACACCGAGTTCCCGGGCCTCATCTTCCGCCCGACCGTGGACCCCACGAGGCCATACAGCAGCCAACTCCAGCCGTCTGATCACTACAGGGTCCTGAAATCAAACGTCGACGCCCTCAGCCTCATCCAGGTGGGCCTCACCCTCTCCGACTGCCGCGGCAATCTCCCTGACCTCGGCGGCTCCCCCACGCGCTTCATCTGGGAGTTCAACTTCAGCGACTTCGACGTCACGCGTGACCCCCACGCTCCCGACTCCATCGCCCTCCTCCGCCGCCAGGGCATCGACTTCGACCGCAACCGGTCCGAAGGGGTCGACTCTGCCCGGTTCGCCGCGCTGATGATGTCATCGGGGCTCGTCTGCAACGACTCGGTGAGTTGGGTCACGTTCCACAGCGCGTACGACTTCGGCTACCTGGTCAAAATTCTCACGCGCCGGAACTTGCCCAGTGGCTTGGACGAGTTTTTGAGGATTTTGAGGGTCTTTTTCGGAAACAGAGTTTATGACGTGAAGCACATGATGCGCTTCTGTAAGAGCTTGTACGGTGGGTTGGACCGGGTTGCTAGAACCTTAAAGGTGGACCGGGCGGTCGGAAAGTGCCACCAGGCCGGTTCGGATAGCTTGCTGACATGGCATGCGTTTCAGAAGATGAGGGATGTGTATTTTGTGCATGGCGGGCCTGAGCGACACGCTGGAGTGTTGTATGGATTGGAAGTGTTTTGATTATTTAAAGATGCAAAAAATTTATGAATTAATTTGTATATTAAATTTAATTGCTTTCTTAATTGGGGCAATTTAATTAATAAGAT